CTGAAAATTTTTTGGTAGGCCATCTTTCTGAAATCAAAGGTGATTTGATATGAGCCTGAAGACATCTTTGGCCAGGCTGACTACCCTGTGGAGGAAATCCATCTGCAGCCAAAGAAAGAAACAGATAAGACAGACTGAGAGAATGAGGGAGGGACTGAGAGAGAAAAGAGAGACAAGGACATTTTGAGTTTCTGGTATCCATACACCCAAGGCCCACCCCACCCCTGACTCTAGGAACTGAGCCAGTAAATTCCAGTTTAAGCCAAACTGAGTTATGCTTACTTAAACCCAAAATATGCCTGATTTCTACATCATCATTATTCTTCTTAACAACTCACACTGGCCCATCATCTGGATGCAGCATAATTTATTAACCATTCAGCCCCTGATGAGCATTTCACTCTTACCAAATTCCCCAGTTACCAGTGATGAATGAAGGAGCTTTCATGTGCTCACTCCTCTCCACATGTGCACAATTATCCCATGAAGGGCAGTTTCTGGATGTGAACTTGAACATCAAAGTGTGCTCCACTGCCCTGGACCCCCATCCCTGCCTTTAGCTTACTGAGTCACAGACCTTCCCCCAAGCTGTATCCTTCTGTCCCGGTGCTCGAGGCTCCCAGTAATTCTCATAGAGTCACAGGTCTGGGGAAAACTGGGCAAGTGTAGAGAGCCCCTGGGCTTCTGAAGCCCTGCTTGCAGCCCAGGTCTCACAGGCCAGACTTTCAGCAGGCCCAGGATGGAGGGCTGCTCTGTCTGCCAGACAGAGGCTGACACCCATTCAGACTCATGAGGAACAATGAGAAATCAGAGAAAACTAGGAGGGGATGGCTCTCAGATGATTCATCCCAGACACACACCCTGCCCACCACTTGCCACACCCCATCTGGCCCAGCTAACTCACCCAGGTACCCCATGAGGGCCATGAATTTTGTCTGTCTTGTGCCAATGCCAAGAACAGCACACAGCATATGGTAGGCCTTAGATTAACATTCAACGAATGAATGAATGAGCGAATGGATGATTGGAGTACTCCAGCTGTGCAGCCCAAATGGCTCAAGGGTAGGCTGTGCCCCTTACTCACTCTGTCAGGTCCCCTCATCCCTTCTTGGTTACCCACGTGTAAATGAGATCGTTGTGTGAGGCCACCTGTAAGCTCCTTCCAGCTCTCGTCTAGCCCTGAAGCCAGCTGAGTCCAGATGACGAATTCTGACATTTTTGGAAAACAGAAAGCACTGCCCATACAATTGTCTACAATTCAATTCAAGTGTTGACCCTTTCCCATCTCTCCCTGAGGGGTGGGAAGGCCACTGAATTTCTTTCTAAATATTTGAAGTGATGTTTCATAAGTTCAGGGTAGAAATCAACTCAGACAGCACAGGGCTGGAATCTGAGCTTGCCTACTCCTGGCTTTGTGACTTTGGGCAGATGACTTAACCTCTCTGAATTCAGTTTCAACATCTAAAAAACAAGGATTGTAATACACTTTGTTCAGCTGTGGAAAGGACTAAATGGATGATGTACAAACACTTGGCACAGTACCTGGCATGTAGTGAGCACTCCATAAATGGTAGGGGAGGTTGTTTGAGAATCTCCCAGACCCTGTGTTTGAGGACAACTGTATGTTGTCACCTAGTGCATGTGGAGGAAGCAGAGCCCAATTTGGGGGGAAAGAGTTGACCTGAGGCCAAAATGAGCTTCAAGCCCTTTTAGGGGAGCCCCTCCTACCTTCATCCTTCTTCCTACCTGAAATTCAAGCACAACGGCTGGAGGTCGGGCAGCCATTTTGGACAATGAGGAGACCCTGAGGATAGAAGCAGAAAGTTAGAAGGAGCCTGGGTCCCTGATTGTCAGGTTTCTATGAAAGCAGTCCTGTATTACCTGTCTCAGGCTTCTTTCTCATTAAGAGATAAATACACCTCAATATCTTTAAACCATTGTTATTTAGGTTTTCTGTTTCATGTAAGCAAACCTAATCTTATCTGTCCTCATTTTGCAGATGGTAAAAAACAAGGCTCAGAGAGGAGAAGTTCACATAACTAGCCAGTGCTGAGTCAGGATTTGAATCCAGGTTTCTTTGGCCCCCTATTATTGATTCTACCAAACCCTTTGCCGCCCACAATGAGAGGGTCCCTCCCTCCCACGTTACCTGCGTATAAGCTACTAGATGTAATCAGGGCTTTAGGGATAGAGGGAAGGAGGTCACAGAAGCCTTCACAGAGGAAGTGGTATCTGAGTTGAGTCTTAGGGAATGAAATAATAATAACTGAGCCATTCAACCAGCCCTTAAGACAAAAAGGGAAGCCCCACATGCCATACGGTGGCTCTGGGCAAAGTACACCCATTGGGACTGACTGCAGCACTAGGGCTTATGTCAGACATCCCCCAAGACCATCATCTGCAGGTTCAACAACTCACCAGGCAGAGTCACAGAGCTCAGCACATAGTCTTGCCTATAGCTATGATCTATTACAGCAAAAGGGTACAAAGTCAAGCCAGCCAAAGCACTGGGGTACAGTCCAGGGGAAAATAGGGGTGAGAGCCCAGGAGGCCACTCCCAGGGGAGCCACACAGGAGGCACTGAATTCCTCCAGCCACAAGTTGTGACACCACATGGGAAATGTGGTCTACCAGGGATGCCTGTTGGAGACTCTGGGCCCATGGCTTATCCTGGGGCTGGTCACACTGAAATCCAGTCTCCCAGGAGGAAAGCAGGTGTTCAGCGTAAACTGCATTGTCCGTACAAACGGTTCAGGCCCAGGGAGCCAACCTTATCAGGGAATGGCAGGTACCCTCCTGAAATCCAAGTTCCCAGACACCAGCCAAGGGTCAAACTTACATGCAGGCCTTCTAAAACATAGCAGCCTCACTCCTGCTGCGTTAACGCCTCTGTACAGAGAATTACACCTTTCTCTCCATTTCTATTTTTGAAGTGACCCAAGAAATGGTTTTTTGTGTCTCAGGCCCAGATCTGCTGAGAAAAATCTCGTTGACTGTGGTGATGACTTCAACAAGTTTCCTAGAAAATAGCCGAGTTACGTCAGGCACCAAGTGGTGGGGAGGGGCAGGTTCAAAGGGTCCTGAGAACACTAGACTGGCGGTTACCAGGCCTGGCTTCTAGGCCTCAGCTGGCCACGAACTCAAGTTCCAACTCGGTCAAGACGTTAAAGTAATGAGCTTCAACTTTTCCTTCAAAGAAATGAAGTATTGGATTTCATCTGCATCGGTGAGCTTCTGCTGCATAACAAACCACCCCAAAAGTCGGTAGCTTAAAACAACTAACATTTGCTAATCCTCACGGTTCTACAGGACAGTGGTTGTTTGAGGTTGTTTGAGAATCTGTGTTTGAGGACAACTGTGTGTTGTCACCTAGTGCATGTGGAGGAAGCAGAGCCCAATTTGGGGGGGAAGAGTTGACCTGAGGCCAAAATGAGCTTCAAGCCCTTTTAGGGGAGCCCCTCCTACCTTCATCCTTCTTCCTACCTGAAATTCAAGCACAATGGCTGGAGGTCGGGCAGCCATTTTGGGTCAACTTGGATTGGGCTCAGCTTAGCCATTCTTCTAGTGCTGCCTGGGCTCATTCATGAAGCACAACCTGGTGGCAGTCAGGACGCCATGTGGTCTCCCATCCTCCAGCAGGCTACCCCAGCTTGGTTCTCATGGCTACTGGCCAGGGGTCCAAGAGCAAGAGTAGGAGCTATAAGGCTTCTCAAGGCCTAGCCTCGAAAGCCATGTAATGTCCTTTCTGGCACATTCTAGTGGTCAAGGAAAGACACGGCCCAGTCCAGATTAAAGGAGAGGACAAATAGACTCCCCCTCTTGATGGGGAGAGAGGCAGGGTCACAGTGCAAAGGTGTGTGGGTAAGGGAGTGGTGGAAATTGCAGCCAACTTTTGCATCAACTACACCATCTCCCCTATGTTCCTTTCACTCATTCATTCATCCATCGCACATCAGAGCCCCCTCTATGTCCCAGCACCTACCAGACATGGGGACACAGAGGTGACCCTGTCCTCAAGGGGCCTCCACACCATTAGATGGAAACAGAAGAATAAACTAATAAATGCCACAAGTTTCAAGGAATGAGCATTTCTTTTATAGCTATTTCTTTACACCGTATTTTTTTTCCACAAAGGAGTCAACCCACCTAAAAAGGCATAAGCAATAAACTTGTGCATTTTAGCCAAAGAAGAAAATTAAAACAGGGAAAGAAGAAAGAGTTTATTGAGTGCCTGTTATGTCCCTAGCATCTACACACATTACGCACATTATCTCCCTCCATCTTTCCATAACCTTGAAGCAAGTGGATTATTCCCCTTTTATAGGTAAGCAAACAGAGGCTCATTGCAATAAGTGACTTGTCCAGCTTCATACAGGTCCTGAGTGGCATTGCTGAGAGTCACACAGCTGAGTCTGGCCCCAGAGTCCATAGGCTACGATAGAACAGCTGCAAAGGAGCTTCAGATTTTACATGAGTTTCCTAGCAGCTCAAGGGAAAAGAGAAACTGAACATGTTTCCCAGTTACTAGACAGGAAAAAGCCAGACATTTCATTGAAAGGAAGCAAAACCCTTCCTAGCACTGAATCAAATTTTCTTTTCTCAAGGGAGACATTATAAAAGAGAGCTTATGGGTGGAATCTATGGGGTCCACCGTGGGCTGTCCAAGTTGAGGGACACTCAGCTCATATCTGGGGAGGATGCTGCGTAAGTGCCCATTTTTCCCCGGAGCAGATTCTGTCCTCCAGCGGCCATCTCCACTGTGTGCCCGTGTGTGCATGCGTGTTTCTCTCCGTCTCACTGTCTTTCTCTTTTCCCCCTACTCCTTCCTCTGTCTCTTGTGCCTCTATCCCTGCCTTGCTCACACCCAAAATGCAAAGAAGTCCCTGCTACAAGAAATTCTGCTGGTTTTTAGGAAGTGCTGCTTCGTTAGGAGCCTACCCACCAAACCTTGGTGGGACAGGACTTCCTCCCCACACGGGGATGGGTGGGGCAAGCCGGAAGGAGCATGTTTTAGCTGAAGTGAGTGACACATCCCTGCCCGTCAGCCTGAGCAGCAGCTGGGTCCGCAGGCAACGGGTGGATAGGCCACCCTTCCCCAGGGCTTCAGAATGGACTTGTGCCACCCAGGTAAGCACCTGGAGCCAACCTCTCTGGGCCTTGGTTTTCCTCTTCTATAAAATGGGGATAATAGTGCCAGCCTCACAGGATCCTGCAAGGAATCGGTGTGTAAATAGATTTAACACAGGTGGAAAATGCAGAAGCACGCAACAAATTATGAGCTCAGGCTAGGTGCCAACCTGCATTCCAAGTGCAGAGTGTACAGTGAACAAAGCAGGATCTGCCTCTACCTTCGGGAGCCTACGCTCTATGGAGGAGACAGACAGTAAATATATTAAGGTGATATGTCAGGCGGTGACAGGCAGGATGATCCATGTGGGTCTCTGGGGAAGGAATATTCCAGGAGGAACAGCCAGTGCAAAGGCCCAGAGGTAAGACACGGAAAGGTTGCTTGTGTAGATGATGGTGTTGGTGACAGTAAGACCTGTCTGGGTGGCACCAGGGCCTGAAGCCCCTGTTTAGCCTTCGAGGGGTGAGGGTGGCCTTTGGGGAGGCTGGAGACACCACCTAGAGCCAGTGGAGGGGACGAGGAGTGAGTAGGAGAGGACCATGGTGGAGACCCTCCCCAGTAAGCAGGATTCTGAGGGAGTCTGCACAGCTGGTCGGGGAAAGAACAGGACTGCACTGTTTCTAGGAGGCAAAGAAGGGCTGGGTCTTTGGGCCCTGCCTCTTGGAATGCCCCCAGCATTGCCTGGAATTCCAGAGGACAAGGGCTGTCGGGAGCTGTCCAGTGCCCAGGTCCGGATAATGTCAACCCTGTTAGCAACAGAACCCTTTCTTCAAGCAAAACCTAACCCGGAGCAGCCTGATCCCCCCCACTGGGCCTGCCCTGCCCCACAGGCACTGGGGTTACCGAGAACCACCCATGCTTTTTGCAGCCTGTTTACAGACGCAGTGAGAGGCCAAGAGGGAGAAGCCATCTTGCAGAGGCAGGTGGGGCTCCTCCTCCTGGGTCCCTGTCCAGAGCTCTCCTTGACCCCCTGCTCCTCCTGGGGGCTTTTAGGGGGCAGGTGGCTCACAGACTGAAGGGACTGTGAGCACCTTTTTGGGGTGGGCAACTAGACCTGCTCGAGGTTCCTCAGATGCTTTGGGACAGTGGAGCAACGCCCCCTGCCACACACACACACACACATGCACACACACACACACACACACACACACACACACACACCCTGCCTTTCCATGGGCTTCACACACTGACGTTCTGTTGAACGGGCTGGTCATCCCTGTAATGAAGAACCTGAGCCTCACAGAGGAGGGCCGGGGAGCACTGATGGCCCACAGTCAGGCGGCCAGGACAGGGAGAAGAACGTGAGAGGGGACAGAGCTAAACGGGGCGCTGTCGGGGGCAGGGCCAGAGGGGAGTCAGCGCTCTGCTTTCCACTGCTCTGGGAGGAAACAGATTGAAGGGAGTCTACTCAGGCAGTCTGTTGGGAGACTTGAGATCTCCATAGATTGGTTCATCTATGAATTAATTAATCGACTGATTAATGAATTCATGCATTTTATAAACAGTCCTTCAGTGCGCGGGATCTGTGACGTGCAGTGCTGGGGACAGCAGTGGCCCAGCGAAGGGCCCAGCCCTGGGGGAGCTAGTGGTCTGGGATGTTGGGGAGGGGGAGAGAGATGCTGCAGGACAGTGACCCAGGGCAGATGTGCACACGGGCACAGACCTGGAGCGTAGGAAGATGCGACTCTGGGGGGGAGGGAATGACACATATCTGAGAAGACTTCCTGCTGGAGGAGGCATAGGGAAGGAGGGAGGGTAGGTCACTCCTCTGTTACCCAGACTGCATCTTATCGCTCCTCCGCAGCTGGGTGAGTTCCCCTCTCTAAGCTTGGATTTATCATCTACATGGGCGTCATCATCCCACCTGACGTGGGGAAGTGGGGAATGACAGGGATTTGGAGTCAGCCCGACCTAGCTCAGGTCCTGGCTCTGCACCAGCCTGCCATGGTCATGATGGACCACTTCCTTCTGTGGGCCTCAGTCTTCCCACCTGTATAATGGACAGGATGGTGACAAAGGTCCCCTAAGGGCTGCCTCCCCTCCTCCAGCCATGGGTTTGTAACACACAGAAATAGGTCAGGCCCCCTTCCCACAGCCTGCTGGGAAGGTGAGAGGTCAAGACAGCAAAGCCCCAACATGACCAAAGAGAGCCCTGGGCTGTTGCAGTGAGGATGGGTGCTGTTAAAAATAGAGGCAGCTGGGCCAGGGGGAGGAAGCCACACCATATGCTTAATGAGCCTGCAGGATCTTGGGGGCTGGGGCGGGAGCAGCTCTGCAGGACACCTTCTCCTGCTCCAGTGCCCCTCCGGGCCCCAGGATAGCACCCTCCTCCTGCCCTGGAAAGAGGAAGCGAGGCCAGCTGTCCTGGGAGCAGGGCTGCAAGCAGAAAGATTTCTAAAAATATGATGGGAAAGAGGAAGGACAAAGGGGAAGTGGAGAGGAGCTGGGGAGCCGGTCGGGGCAGCACCAGGGCACACGCAGCTGGCCCGGGCACAGAGTGCCGAGGGTAGCCACAGCCGCGGCTTGGGTGGGGTGGGTATTCCAAAGGCAGCCTTTGCAAGGGAGGTGAGGAAAGCACATAACCAAGTGAGGGGTGAACAGAGCCTGTGGCGGTGGCTGTCATTACCATTCCACTAGTTTTTGTGTTTTAGTATTATTGTCATTATTATTAAAATTCGTCTCCCACAAGCCTCACCAGTGCCTGAAACATCACCATCACCAGGCTTGGAATCGGAAGTGGCCACTCTCAGGCTGTGCCCTAGTTATGCTCCCTGAGCCTCAGTGTCCCCAGCTCTGAAATCCCCTATTGGGTGAAGGGTCAGGAGGCCACTGTGCACCACATGGTGATGCAGCAGTCCAGGGACCGTCAGCACCGTCCTGTGCGTTCAGGCGCACTTGTCCACTTGCCACCAGTTGGGGTCAAGATCCTGACAGAGGAAGACAGTGGACCGCAAGGGCTCATTAAAGCACCTGTTGCACCACTCAGAGGCTCAGAATAAAGAAAAAACGCAAACAGCCCCCTCACTGTCCCACATCATTCCACTCCCCTGGAAAATAGTTTCCATTCATTCTTGTGCCTCAGTTTTCCCATCTCTACAGTATTGGCTATGTTTTATTTCTTACCTGACTAGGGAAAGGGGCTCAGACTATAGGCATCATCCTGCATCTTGTCTTCATTCGCAAACATGTAGCCATGATCAGCATTCCCGTGCCAGGACACCCAGGATTATCATCTGGTGAGGTTTTGATGATGTGCATGGAGATACCTGGCTTCAGAAGGCCAACATCAGGGTTGTGTCCTCAGAGCCCCGGATGGGCCCAGATGTGAATCCCAGCTCCACTACCTTCCAGCTGTGTCACCTTGAGCAGGCCACTTAACCTCTCTGAGCTTCAGATGCCTCAGCTATAGAGAAATACGTCCTCCAGAGCTGTCACTGGGGTCAAATGACAGTGGACAGAGTCTGGAGCACAGAGCCAGGCATGTAGTAAGCACTCCATCAGCATAGCTTGCTTAGCCAAAGGGTTGGCTTGTTAGTAAGCAAGATCCCAGAGCTGCTCACGCAGATCCCAGGACTGCTACAGGGAAGGGAAGGAGGTGAGGCAGAGGATGGTGCCCAGATGGAGCCCAGGAGGGCACCTGAGAGGAGAGCGAGAGGATGGGGAAGAACTACTAGGCAGAGAGGAGAGGGAAGAACACTCCAGACATAGGGAACAGCATGCACGAAGGCCTGTGGAAGGAAAGAGCACATGGGAACAGATGAAGGGCGTGTGTGAGTCCTCAACCTGGGGCAAGGGAGGGTGCAGAGTGACATGAGGACTGGCACCCAGGATGACAGGATGCCAAGGGAGACCGGAATGGAGGGACAGAGCAGAGGCAGAGCAATATCAGGTGGCCCTGCAGCCATCCAGAGAAGAGCCCATGGTCTGGGAGAGGGTGGGGCTGCAGAAGCCAAAAGCAGATGGCCAAGGCTTGGTGATGGAAAGGACACAGGGGCGAGAGAAGTGCATGCCACAGTGCCTCCTGGGACCCCAGGCAGGGCATCTGGTGGCCCTTCCCAGAGCCCACTAACTCAGGCAGAGTGCCAGTTTGAAGGGAAATTCTAGGAGTTCCATTTTGGTGGCAATGACGAGAGCTGATGGCCAGTGCACAGGGGGATAGAGGGCCTAAAGCCCAGGGCAGGGGTGGGGCTGAGGGTGCACATGTGGTTCCTTGGCCTATGAGCGGAGAGGAAACCACAGGAAGAGAGAGGAGAAGCTGGCCCAGGACTGGGCCATGGGAGTCCCTTCACCCACCCCTGACCATCCACACTGGAGATGATCCATAGAAACACTAAATTCTGTGGCCTCTTTCAGACAGGCAGCCCTTCTGGAATCCCTGTGGCCTCCGCCAGCAGGTGGGCCCAAGGCCAGAAGCAGGCCTTCGGGACACAAGCCCTTGCCAATAGGGAAACAATGGAAGGCAACAAACAAAATAAAAAGGCTGATCTTTTACCCCAGAGTCAACAAGAGGTGATTTGGTTTTTCCACCACGGAACTCAGTCTTCCTCCCGCTTCTGACAGGGGTTCCGGGTCCCAGCCTCTAGTTCTGCCTATGCAGCTATGTCTTATGTCTCTGCTCATGTCTTCCTGTAGACGCCCCTCCTGCCTTCCATAGCTGCATGTCTCCAACAGCACACAGAGTCCACCTCTCCTGGGACAGAGGCTTGGGCACTGGCAAACCGGGATTCTGATCCTAGCACTTCTGCTTCCCGGCTGTGTGACCTGGGGCAAGTCACTTTACCTCTCTGAGCCTCCATATCTTAAACTGAAAAAGATCCAGTTAAGGAGTTGTGAGGATTAAATGACATGATTTATATGGAGCTGCTGGCCTGGAGGAGATGTTTTTGAGCTTCAAGGTTAATGAGACTCTTGCTTCATCCTGTGGTATAAGTGCTGCCTCTCCCCAACCCTTCTGGAAAACAGGCTCTCTAGACTTGCAGAGCTCAGAATTTGGGGGACAGAAAAGGAAACTCCGTAGCTGGTCCCTAGGAGGATGGTCATAGGTCACAAGGGAACTACCCATGCAGACATGGCGTGAGCTAAGGGTCCTGGTACAACAGTGGTTGAAGATATGGGGGTCTGGGCCCCTTGCCTCTGGGGCTTACTAGAGCTTCTGGTGCTGCTCACCTCTGTTTCAGGCTGAACCACTCACAAAGGACTATTGTTGGAATCACTTGACTTTATTAGGACTAAACAGGCCCACCTTGACTGCTTGACCAGGGGAATCGTTACCATATGCAAACGCCACAGGGTTGCAGGACCCTTATGTCTGGAGACCTGGCCTCTTCTTGAGTCAGTAGGGTCTGGGTGGGAAAACTGGCTCGGGTCCAGAGATTAGGCAAAGGGTCTTGGCTTTTTATGCAGTGGCTTCCCTCTGGCAGGGACAGACCCTTGGGTGAGGCAGACCCACGAGGCTGAGGTACATGCCTAGGAAGGGACCCAGCCATGAGCCAGCAGCAGGCCATCCTCAGCACCACCACCTCCAGTGGCGGAGAGAATGGGTGCCCTGGTCCCGAAGGGGAGAGCTGGATGGCACAACATAGCATCCGTCATACATGTGTTGGACCCTTGTTGACTGTATGTCAGAAACTTGCTGGGTGTTTGACTAAATTCAGCTCTTTTTATCCTGACAACCACCCTTGGCTCATGTTTCACAGATAAGGAGACTCTATTAGTTAAGTTTCAGGTTTGACTGTTGTGTAAAACAGACTCAGAATAACAGTGATGGAGACATTCTCAAAACATATGTCTGTCTCATTGAGAAGTCCAGGTGGGTAGCTGATGGAAGTGAATGTGATGGCTCTTCCCCAGGCTCCTTGTGGCTTGGCACCCCGCCAGCTCAGCTTCCATCTCAAAGCCTTTGGCGGCTGCTCAGTCAATGGGAGAGGGAAGGAGGGAAAGGGAGCCTTGACATTCTCTCTGCTTTCATTTAGGAGAGGTAATGTCTGTCCTTGCAAAACCTATAAGAAATGTGATCAGACACCTCCTGAAGCAAGGACTTGAGAGTCAGGGAGGATCTGGACAGGCAGACAGGAGGAGGCGCCCCAGGGTGGAGGAACTGCATAGGCAAAGGTGGGGAAGGACGAATGACAGCTAGACAATTCGAAGGCAGTGAGCAGCTGGCAGGCTGGACTGGCAGGCTCTTGTTGAGGATGGTGGCGAAAGGCTGGCTGGAGAGGCCAGGGAAACTGTGGGGACCCTGGGACCAGGAGGAGGACGCTTCCCTCTAAGTAGTAAGTAGTCCATGGAGCTGTGCTGTCCAGGACTGTGCTGTGGGTGGACCAGGAAGCACAGTGAGGGGTAAAAGTGGGCCCCGGGGAATAGGGATCGTCATAGCACCTTGCCCAGAACACCAGCACGTGTGTATCTCCTTTAACTCGTTTACAGGCATTGAGGAAAGAACCCAGGCTTTGTAGTCAGACCAATCTAAGTCTGCCCTTGCTCAGCAATTTGTCCCTGTGGGACCCTGGTTAGGCCACCTCACCTCCCTAGCCTCAGTGTCTGGGTCTGTGAAATATCCACCAAAATCCAGTCTCCCCATCTTACATAGAGAGGCTATCAGGATCACCTACTAACGGCTTATTTCCCAACCTCCCTTGCAGCTAGGTGCTGCCATGTGACTACATCTGACCAATGGGATGCCAGGCAAAATGATCCACCACTTCTTGGTTGTGCAACTAAATAAGTGAATAAATGATAGCCATATGACCTGGTGAAGGAGTAAATTAAAGTTCCAGGGAAGGATGAATGTCTTCAGCAAGTATTTTATGGAGTACCTGCTGGGTGTCAGGCTCTTTCTGGGTGCTGAGGATGCAGCTGTGAGCAAAACTGTTGAAGTTCCTGCTCTCACAGAACTGAGAGTGTAATGAATAGAACAGAAATGATGCAAATAAACAAGAGGATTTCATTAGTCTGTAGCCAGAAGGACAGAAGAAACATAAAGCTGGGTAGGCAGTTGGGAGGGACTGTGTTTTAGACAGGGTGGTCAGGGAAGGCTTCTTGGAGGAGGTGACATCTGAGCCAAGGCCCGAGTGAAAAGGGCCAGCAAGCAAGGTTGCTGGAGGGAAGAGGGCCCTGGGGAAGTGAGAGCTATCCGGTGTGGCTGGAGCCGAGTGATGGAGGGGAGGGCGGCGAATCAGTAACCACTGGTTCTCTCTCCAGACCCAGGGGAGCTGAGCAGCAGCGAGGCCGAGGAGCTGCAGCAGATCAAATGGCACCGGAAGCAGCTTCTGGAGGACATCCAGGTGTGTGCACATTCACACACTCACACAAGTACACACGCTCATGTCCACACACATGCTCAGGCTGACACATCATCAAAGCACACACACCCACAGGCAAACACGCATACGCACACATCTCCCCACCCGCTCATGTTGTCCACCGCTGTCTCCCCAGCCCAACAGTTAGAACAGAGTCAGCACGCAGTTAATGCTTGTGAGTGAGCCTCCGTTTCTCTGTGGGGAAGCCACTTGGTGACTCAGCCAAGGTCACATGGCGGGAGCTGGCTGGGCTCAAGATATCAGCTCGGGCCCTAGGCTGCCAGGTCCCCAAACAAGCCCCCGGGGCCGCCCCCTTCCCACAGATCTCAGGGGAGGTGAGAGGGGGCTGCGGCGCCCTTTGGGGTCTCAGATGCCCATGCTGCTCTCCTGCATGGGGGTGCTGGATGAGCTGCTGTCTTTTCCCAGCTGCCCAGCAGCAGAGGCACAGAGAGGTGCTTTCCTTGACTCCCCCACAAGCCTTTCTTGTCTCAGCCCTGCAGAAGGTGCCCAGGAGCAGACAAGACTCCCTGTGTCCTCTTCTGTAAATTCCACGGGACTCACAAAGTTCCTGAGAAGAGGGCCTGCATGGTCTTACACCCTGGTGTAGCCATAGTACTTGGCACATGGTGGGCAGACAGTTAAGGGCAAATGACAGAGTAAACGGATAGATAGAGGAAGCAAGAAAGGAGCTGGGGCCTGATCATCGGGTGGGAATTTGTGCCTTCTGACTGGGATGGCAGCAGGGAGCCACAGAGGAGCTTGAGCAGGGGCAGGACAGTCTCCAAGCTGTGCTTCAGGACAATGGCAGCTGATGGATGTGGGCTTAGCTTGAGGGCAGGAGACTCCACAGCTGCAGAGGGGGGAAAGGAGGAGGCCAAAACTCGAGTGGGCGAAGGGCAGGGACTTGGGGACTGCCTTCCCCAAGACAGGGGCGCATGGAGAACTGGGGAAACAGAGGCATTCGGTTTGGCTTGGGATTTGGAGGGTGTGAGACCTCTGGGGAAGGGAGCTGGGTCCTTCAGTGGCGGCTCAAGAAAGGGAACTTTGGGAGTCACACCGGGAGCAGGAGTGCTTGCGTGGGAGGGCAGAGGTGGTAAAACCCTTTCTGTCCCGGCCTCCTCCCCCTGACTGCCCCTCCCTGTGTTCTCCCCCATCCCGCAGAAGCTGAAGGATGAGATCGCAGATGTGTTTGCCCAAATCGACTGCTTTGAAATTGCAGAGGAGAGGTGAGGGGCCTGGCCCGGGGACCCTGGGAAGCTGCGTGGTGGCTTCCCGAAGATGTCTTACTCCATGAATGAGCATGAATGAGCAAGGCTACACTGGGCCCAGGTCCTGATGAAATTGGGATTAGGGCCCCAGGGGAGGAGGCAGTGATGGTGAGATAGAAACAGGGGGGCCCTGAGGCTCCATCCCGTGTCCCGGTCCAGTCCTTGCTTCCAGACAACCCCATCTTGAAAGAGAACCATCTTCCCACCCCCAACACTCAAAGTCTCCCCCAACCCACTTGACCCACCCCTGACCAATCGCTGGCCTAGGAGCATCCCGGGATGGGCCAGGGAGAAGACAGACTCAGCCCCCAGGAAGGATGAGAAAGCCAAGGGCCTCCTGCAGCCTGGCCTGTGATACGGCCAAGGCTGGTCCTCCTCACCCCGTCATCCACCCACCCTGCCGATGGGAAGGCTCCCACTAGCTCTGTGCCCTAGGTCTGGTCCCCTCCTCTCTTTGGGTCTCAGTTTCCCCACTTGTGCAATAAGAAGGTTGGTGCCTACATAATGCCCTGGGGCCCGGGGGCACTGACTCCAACATTCCATGTCCATGGAAATCACCCCTGCCCCTGGCACCCCTTAGGTCTCCGATGCTCTGGCGTCCACCTTTCCAGGCCCTACCCACAAATGCACAGGCACACAGGCATAACCTTGTGTCTCCAGATTCCCTGTTCCAGCCCCAACAGTAACCATCGAACATCTACAGAGCACCACCTACCACCAGGTCTCTTCAGTGCTTCAACGTCTCAACAATGGGAGGAGGCAGGGGGTGCTGTCACCCCCAACTATACAGATGAGGAAACTGGGTCCCGGAGAGAAGTGACTCACCCTAAGTAGCTTAGCCAGCAAGTGGGGGAGCAGGATTCACCGCAGGATTCTGGCTCCAGAGCCTGTGCTTCCCCCCTCCCAAGTGCAAGTCCTTCTAAATGCTCCCCCTGAGGCAACTCTGGGCTCCCCTAGACCACGGCTCCAGAGCTGGTTAAAATGCCAGTGCTGGGCCCCTTGAGAGAGTCTGGTTCAGTAGCTCTAGGAGGGGCCCAGACCCTCCCTTCTTGTGCTCTCCCAGGAGGTGCTGATGCCTAGGAACCCCACATGGAGGCCCACAGGGAACCCCGGCTCTAGCTGAGGAGAGCATCCTTGACTGGGGGGAGGTGTCCAGGGCCCTGGGGCAGTCCAGGCTGACATCTCCATGTCCACAGCCGGATGGCCCAGAAGGAGAAGGAGCTATGCATTGGGCGCAAGAAATTCAACATGGATCCCGTGAAGGTGGGCAGCTGTCGGGTCCTGGGTCTTGGGGCCGGGGGAGCTGCATGCTGGGTGCCTGCACAATGTCCTCGTGTTCCCTGTAACTGACAATCAGCCGCCTTACAGATAAGGAAACTGAGGTCCAGCAGGGCTCAGCATCTTGACCAATGCCCCTACGGCCTGTCGTGGCTGGGGGTTCAGTCATGCCACAGTACCGCAGCCCCAGGCCTGAGCAGGGAGCCAGGGGCCTGGGCTCTGGGCTGGTTTCCTCCTGTGCGAGTAGGGCTTCGGGCAGTGAGGCCTTAGATTCTGGGACTCAGTCTTCAGAAGTGTCTTCCAGCCACCAGACTGGGGAAGCCAGTCCTGGAGCGCTGGCACTCAGAGCCCAGAGCTCAGAGACTACTGTCCCCACTCCTATCCCCCACCCCACCCCCACTGGCCGTGGAGCAGCCCCAGTCCCCACCTCCTACCGCAGGCGGCAGCAGGCCCCTTTTACTCGGAAACAGAGACAGGAGGAAGCCACAGACTGACACGCGGAGGTGGGGAACTACTCTGGCCTAGGAGGCTGCCTCTCTTCCCCAACGCAGGCCCAGTGTCACACACACCCAGTTACCTCCGACAGCGGCAGAAATCTGGCTCCTGCCTCCATGCACACAGAACACACACACTAACTCACACTCCCCCCGATCACCTGGGAGGGGCCACTGAAGGATCCCCATGACCCTCTGCTTGTCACTTAGACCCCCCCACAATCTGCCCCCACCTTCCAGCAACCTCTTCTCCAGGAGGAACGGGGACACAAAGGAACCGTCACAGGAAAGCGGGACCAACCCCTCAAACTCCTACACCTAGCAGTGCAGACTCTGAGTGCCTGGGTAGCGGGGAGAGGTATTTCTGGTATTATCCAATCAGAAGAGCAGGTTTCAGCGGGGTGGGTGGGGTCACTCCCACTTTCATATAGAAGGGCCGGAAAGGCATCACAATGGAAACTGTCTACCTCCAAGAGATGGGACTTGGATAATTTCCTCTTTTCAATGCAGCTGTTCTTTTTCTAATTTTTATACAATGGACACAGATTATTGTGAGAAAAAATGAAACACAGTTTTAAAATGATATGAATTTTAAGGGGACAAAAGGAATGACTGAATCATTGAATCTTAAAATTATAAATTTATAGAATCATTGAAGCATATGATCAAAGAGCATCAGACTGAAGCCGACTCTGGGGAGCATCTGGCATGAACCTGGTTCATTGCAGGAGCTCATCTTTCTTTGCATGCCTCCAGGAATGGAGAACTCACTACCTCACAAAGGCAGCTTCTATTAAGGAGGGACACGACTTCCCCGAACAGGCTGTGCCAGTGCCAAATGCCAGGTCCCAGGGCTCTGGCCATGGAGGCTCCCTCCCTTCCTCCTCCCAGGCCGGCTGCTGTGCAGGGGCTGCTCATGGGCTCTGTACCACCTCCAGGGCATCCAGTATCTCACTGAGCATAAGCTGCTGAGCGCTGACGTCCAGGACATCGCCCAGTTCCTGTACAAGGGTGAGGGCCTCAACAAGACAGCCATCGGCAGCTACCTGGGGGAGAGGTAAGGGGGGTGGGGTCTCAGGGAGGCAGGGAACGAGGGTGTGCAGGTATGCACAGGGGTGTGTGTGTGTGTGTGTGTGTGTGTGTGTGTGTGTGTCTGCAGATGAGTGAGGAGTGAATTATGTTAGGAAAGTCATAACTGGGCTTGAGGGCGTTAAACAGATCACTCCCTTCCAGATTCTGAACCAAAGCCTGCCTCCCTTTCTTCATTCATTTATTCAACAAATAGATTTTTTTAGTATCTACTGTGTGCCAGGCAGTGTTCTAAGCCCTGGATTTACACCAGTGAAGAAGACAGAAAATTCTTGCCCCCAGGGAGGTATATTCTAATGGGGAAAACAGATCCCAAAATATGTTAGAAAATTGTAAATTCTTTGGAATACAAATAAAGCAGGATATGGAGGTTTCTGCCGTTCCCAAACAAAGAGAACGGCACGTGCAAAGGTCCCAGGGTAAAAGCATACTGAAGGAACAGCAGGCTGGTGAGATCCCGGGTCGGCAGTGTCATACACCTACCCACCACCCTGTGGGGTGGGACGCAGACTCTAAGGGACAAGGGCAGAGCTGGGCCAGAGAGCGAGCGACCCCTCTCCCAGGCTCCCCAGAGGACATGGTCTGCTGAGCAAACAGGAACGCAGGGGGGCTGGAAAGGCAGCACTTCGTGACTGAAGAGCTGGACAGAGGGAAGAGATGGGGGTAGGCATCCTTCTCTCCATTTCACAGATGAGGACACTGGGGCTTGAGGAGGTCAAGGGGTTTGAGTGGGGTCACCCAGGCAGCAACTGACGGAGGAAGGATTTGACTCAGGGCTGCTCCAAAGCCACAGCACCCCTCCCGGGTGAGGACCGTGCTGGTGAGCCGTGGCGGGGAGGATGTGAGTGTGCACGTCAGGGTAGGGGGTGGTCATGTGGGTCAGACAGGTGTGAACAGACCAGATGGTGACTGGATCCAGAAGGAGGACGTCTCTCCCCTGCCCGCCTCCCTCTAGCTCAACCGCCTCCAGGAGGTGGTGCCAGCAAGTCCCCAAGTGTGTTCCATCCTTCCTTCTGCCCTCTCCCCAGGGATCCCACCAATCTGAAAGTCCTCCAGGCCTTTGTGGACTGCCACGAGTTTGCCAACCTCAACCTCGTCCAGGCCCTCAGGTGAGTGGTCTGGGGGCAAGGGCCTGGCACAGCATGCGGAGGGGGGCAGGAGTAGTTGGGGGCATCAGGACCCATATGGCCAAAACCTGAGCAAAGCATCAGGGGCAAGGAGTCACAATTAATTAATGACAGTGCCTGCCTCGCCAAGCTGAGGTTAAAGACACAGTAGCCATGGACTGCCTGGAACAGCGCCTGGCCACTACTACTGCCACTAGCACTACTATACCAGCACGCTATTTTAGTAATATTTATCATGGTAACCACCGTTACTACTGCCATTCCCACTGCTTTTTGGATTTAGTACTTGTTTTATTTATTTTATTGATGCAGCTTAGTATGTCGTATTTTTTTATAAACTTATTATTTTCTACTTAGGATATTATTGTTGTTGTAGTATATGGGTTAGGAGCACAGACTCCGGAGCCAGACTGTCCAGTTCGTATTCCAGTTCTGCTACTCCCCTCTTGAGCAAGTCACAAAAGCCTGTCTGGGCCTCAGGTTCTTCATCTGTAATATGGGCATAATAATAGTACCAATCTCACTGAGTTTAAGGACTAAATGAGAAAGTACTTAGAATTCGTCCATAGTAAGTGCCTAGTAAGTGTTGCTGCTGTGGGTAATGCCCAGCCCTTGAGTTGGGGCATTTGATCTGGGCTTTGAAGGATGATTAGGAGTTGTGGGGCAGAGAAGAAAGACGCCACCACCCTCCAAGCAGTGCAGCCTTCTCTCTAACAACCCTGCTCTTTAAGGGAGACGGGTAGGTGGTTGGGAGTCTTCAATATTCATTCACTGATTCATTCATTCACTGATTCATTTGTTCATCCTTCCATTCATTCAACAAGCCTTTTCTGAGCACTTTCTGGGTGCCTGGGCTTGGGTGATGCCCAGTGGGAGAGGTGAGAGGAACAGTCACAGCCCTTACCCTCAGCGAACTTACTCTGAAGCTGTGGAAACCACCAACTTCCAGAGCTGGAGGCTTAGTTTCCAAGAAGGGAGGCCCAGCCCAGGGAAAGCATCACCCAGGCCCTCTCCATCCAATCCCAGGGCCCAGTGGCCAGAACTGAGGCAGGCAGGGGACCCCTGATGAGTCAGAACAGACTGTGGCTACAAATGGTGCTGGGCCTCGATGGGCTCAGCTCCCGTATTCCAGAAGAAAGGGCACTTCTTGGCTCCTTCCAGCAGGTTTGGTCCTCACAAGGACAGATTCCACTCATCCCTCCCCATGAGCCTAGGTGACAGGTGCAGATTCTCCCATTTACAGGATAAAGAGACTAAGGCTGCGAGAGGCAGAGCAGCTTACCTGTGCCTCCCTGAGGGCCTCCCACCCAGACACCCACAGCCCTGTTCCTCCCCCAGACAGTTCCTCTGGAGCTTCCGGCTGCCAGGAGAGGCCCAGAAGATCGACCGGATGATGGAGACCTTTGCCTCCCGCTACTGCCTCTGCAACCCCGGTGTCTTCCAGTCCACAGGTACCGGTGTGGGATGGGACTCCAGGTCCTAGGGCCCGTCAGCATTACCAGGCACAGATCTGCCTCCTGAGGCACCATGGCTACCCCATCCCCTCAGGTTTCCCCAAGGACACAGACCCTGGGAGCCCAGATCCCTCAGGAACCTTCACTAAGCACCAACTCTGTGCCAGGCACTCTCTGGGTGCTTGTCATACAGAGCTATCTCAGGCACGATCCCCGGGAGAGGAGGCAGGAATGAGGGTGGCACAAGGTGCTGAGACAGCAGTACCTGTCTGAGGGCAGGAGTGAGGGAATCAGCGTATCTAGGATAGCTTCTCAGAGGCGGTGGGGTCTGAGTGGGGTTTTAAAGGATGAATAGGAGTTTTCCAGGAGGTCAAGGGGAGAAAGGGCCTTTGGGGCAGGAGTTCTAGTTTGAGCAAAGGCCCAAAAGCATGAAACAGCCTGGGCATGATGTAGGGGGCACAGATATCAACAAAAGTCAGTCCTCCATACCCTGACTCCCAGGGGGGTGGGTAAGAAATCCTCATGGCAGATTTGCCCCGGCCTCTTCTCTGGATCTCAAGTTACCATAATAACAATAATCAATTCCATTAACTGAACATTCTCCATGAGCTAGTTGTGTTACCTATGCAAAGTCATTTAATCCTCACATCCACCCCATGAGTTCAGTAGCATTCTCATCCCCACGGAGAATACAGACTCAGAGAAACAAAGTGACGCATCCACGGATACACCACTTCTTGGCTGTGTGTCCTTGGACAAGCCCTGAAGAGCACTGGCCCTCTTTGTGGTGATACATAAATTGGACATGTGCTCATTTATTATCTGTTAGCTCCATGAATCTAAATGTCCCACAAGGGTGGGGACCATATCAGACTCATTCACCAATGAATCCCCAGTCCACAGCCCTTCATACATATTCAATAAATATTTGTAAGAAGGAAGGAATTTTAAAGCAACAGATTTGAATCACAATCTAACTACTTAATTTTGTGACCTTGGGCATGGAACTTAACCTTGCTGTGCCCTGGTCTCCTAGTCTGTAAAATGGGAAGGGGAACGGTACCTGCCTCGTAGGCTTGTCGTGGGGGTGTAAGGAGATTGGCACAGGGCAAGCCCCACAGCATCAGTGGTGGTGTGCCCAAAGTCGCGAGCCCTTTCAAGGGGCAGTGTTGCAGACGTAGAATAATCAGTGGTCTAGAACTTAAAGCTACTTCAAAATTGAATCTCCTCATGTCACAGATGGGGAAGCTGAGGCTCAGGGAAAGCAGGTAGTTTCCCAAGGTCAACTGGAGAGTTGGGGACCTAGCTGGACTTCCCTGGCTCTGGACCCAGGAACTAAAAACACTACAGAGTAGCAGTCACCTCCCTCCCAAATGCTCAGCGGCCTCGCTTTCAAGCACGTGACAGTCTGAATAAGGGAACAGGAGCTCCAGCCCCAGGAGCCCCACGATGCAAGCAAGGTTACCAAGCAGCACGTGATGGCGCCTGAACAGTGCTGCCAACAATAAGTGTTCTCTGAGTTCCGAGGAGGCAGAGAACAGAGTGGGCAGGGGGGCAGGAAGGGCTCGGCAGGGAGGCGGGCTGGAGCTGGAGCTGAAAGGGACGGGTTTCCATGGGTAGAAAGGGAGGGGAGGGCACCCCTGGCAGGCGGCCCAGTGGGAGCAAAAGCACAGGGGTGGGAAGGCACGAGGGAAACATGGCAGCTGAAGTTTGTGGGGAGCAGGAAGTCTGCTAAGACTGGGAGGTGAGGCCAGACCTCAAATGCAAAGCAAGGAGGACAAGATGGACCTTCAGGCCATTGAGACAGCCAGTCCTTGGCCCCTAGGAGTCGGGGCAGAGGGAGAATGACCGGGGCCAGGACTCTGACTTGCTGTCCCTTCCCACAGACACCTGCTACGTCCTGTCCTTCTCCATCATCATGCTCAACACCAGCCTCCACAACCCCAATGTCCGTGACAGGCCGCCCTTCGAGCGCTTTGTGTCCATGAACCGGGGCATCAATGGCGGCAGCGACCTGCCGGAGGAGCAGCTGCGGGTAAGAGGGGTGAGGCCCCGCACACCCGGTCCCAGGCATCTGGGGGGGGCACCTGTCCTCGGGTGGACGGCTGGAGAGGCGCTCCTCTGGGATAGACCAGAATCCAATGGGGCTCTGCCGAGATGGACCGCCCAAGTGGGTGACCCCCCGCAAAACAGGCTGGTCCTGAGATGGGGCCTCCCAAGTGGCCCCCATCTTAAGGAGGATATCCGAGATAGGCCCCTCAGGAGGTCCTCCCAAACATCACCCTTTAGGGGACTCTAGGTACCCATCAGTTGCACCTTCCAGAAAGGGCTCCTCATGCAGCCCAGGCCTATTTCTTGGAATCCCAGATTCATAGACTCAGCATGTCAGAGCTGAAAATCCCCAGACTGTGCTCAAACCCCTCCATCTTCAGAGAGAAGGAAACACATCTTCCACAAGGCTGCGTGTCAGCTGGAGCTAACCAGAACCCAGGCCTCCCATCTCCCCACCAAAGAGCCCCCACACCTCCGACACTGTACCAGGCCCTGTGCCAGGCACAGGGCACCTGGGGATAAATCAACCACAGGCCATGCCCAGACCAAGTTCAGGGTCTGGTGGGAAGATGATACACATGTGAATTACAACCAACACAACATAGTCATGCTGTGTTAACTATAGAAACATAGCTATGGACACAGAGAACACTATTATCAACCCTCCTGGGGGCAGGGGAAGGGCACCATCCTGGAAGACTTCACAGAGGAAGTGACTTTTGAATTGGGTCTTAAAGGTTGAATGAGAATTTTCTCAGGGAAGTATCAGGGAATGGTCATTCCAGAAAGAGGAATTGGCCAAAACCCAGTCCTGGCCTGGTTGGGAAAAAGAAGGGTGTCAGAGTGGCTGACTAGGGTGTGGTTAGGTATAGGCAGTGACAGGCAGCAAAGTGGGACCACAGTACCCAGGGCTTTGAATGACAGCCTTGCAGTTTGCCTGTTTCCTATGAGCAACACGGAGCTAGGAGCAGTTTTGTAAACATAGGAGTGAGATTGAAAGTCTGGCTCAGCAAAAATGAACTGACAGTTCTTTTCTAGGACTAAAGACACCCCAGAGCTCCATGGAGTTTCAGTCCCCTCTGGGTTAGAGCTTGGCAGGAGGAAAGGGGAGGGTGTAAACCCCACCCTCCCACCAGAGCATTTGTGTACCTGCTGCTACAGAAGTCTGGGGGAGCCTGGGTCTGGAATGATTGTAGTGCCCCTCAGTGTTTGAGAGCTGCCACACCCTCAGCTCCCCACCCTCTTTGGCCCCCAAAGGAGAAGGTTCACCATGGGGGTGGCAGAGAAGGGACACGGCCTTAGAATGAGGGCTTGAGAGTTGGTTAGAGCTCAGCTCAAATCCCATCTCCCTCATTTACCTGCTGCGTGGCCTTGGGCAGTGACTCGCCCTCTCCGAACCGCCATGCCCTCTACCAGGAGAGCAGCAACGGTGGTGACTGTCTCACAGAGCTGTTGAGGGTACTAATTTTTTAAGATGTAAAGGGCATAGCCTGTGCCAGGTATAGTACCAGTCGGTGGCTATGTCACTATAAGAATAATTAGCAATAATTTTAAAACCCCAGCCCTTAGTAAAATGCCAGAACACAAAAGGCATTTGAGCATTGGTAACTCATCGCACTGGGGCATCCTGGCAGGAAGCTGCGCACATCTAGTCTGGCAGGTAATGAGTTAATGACATGCCAGCACCAGTCTTATTGGAGCTCCCAGGTGCCACATTACTGCTTTGGCCCCCAGTGAGCCTTCTTCGGCATTTCTCTCCTTTGGTATTTTACCCAGTTCAAGTCTTTTGTTAATAACAATGCCCTGCATTTGTATAGAGCTTGTGACTTTCTTCTCATAGGGCTTTTGGGTCTATTATCTCAATTTAGCTTTAAAGTCTGCCTAGGAGGTCTGGGAAGCATTTATTATTCTCCTTGGCAGCCAAGAGAGGCAGACACGGAGCAGGGAAAAGAGCAGAGTCACAGCCACTTCCAAGTCCTGGCTCCCCCACTTTCTGGTTGTGTGACCTTAGGTAAGTTGCTTGACCTCTCTCAGCTCCCAGCTCATAAGATTATGTGCAGAAATATAAGGTATTTAGTAAAGTGCGTGGTGTAGTTGGAGTGGCTAATTATTCCAGCAGCTTCCTGGGGCACAAAAAGAACCATCCAGGCCTGGTCCTTGCTATTCAGGGCTTTCATAGATAGCTGCTGTGGACTGGGGATCTCCTCACCTTCTCTCTGGGCCCCATCTTCCCCATGCGTAAAGTAAGGACTTGGCTTTAAGCATTTTCAGACATTCAGGGTTTGCCACTTGGCAGAAAAATTCTCCATGAAGCTACTCTAGCTTGGGTCCTGCCGAGGACATGTAACGCTTTTGAAAGCGTGGCCTGATTTATGAAATTAAATTGATACAGATATATTACCTGAAGAGAGATCTCCCCTAGGGCACGCAGACCACGAGGGTACACGTCTGGGAAAGGCTTCGGAGAGGGAGGGGACAGGTGGGCTAAACCCATCTTTCCCTGGCCATCCTAATGGGGATGGGGCAGAAGGCCTAAGAGATTCAGGGCAAAGGTCATAGACTTAGAGGATGGGAGATAAAACCCCAGCTCTACCCTCATGGTACCGTGTGACCTTGAGTGTAAGCCTCAGTTTCTTCATCTGCCAAGTGGGCTTATGACACTGCCCTCATGGTGTTCTCCTGAGCAGAGAGAATGCGTTTCAAGCACCTGGCATGTGGCACGCACCTGAGAAATGGTGAGAGGGAAAGCACTCACCTTGATAGCTGCCTGGAGAGGAAGGTAGGGTGGACAAGGGGAAGAAAAGAGGACAAGAAGGCAGCTCTCCACCCTCTGGTGTTACAAGTGGAGAAACTGAGGCCCAGACAGGAAATTGTCTCCCAGTTCAGACACCTGCTGCTGCAGGCAGCCCGGGACCTCCTGGGTCCTTGTCCAAGCATCACCATGAGAACTGACTGTGCACCAGGCCCAGTTCTAGGCCCTTCATATTCTCATCAAGTCCTCCCAACAACCTTAGGCAGTGGATCCCATCCCCAGTTTACAGCAAAGGAAACTGAGCTCCAAGAAAGGTAGCTGGCCAGGGGGTCTCACAGCTTGTAAGGAGCTCACATTTGAATCCCTGGCTGTCTGACCCCAGAGCCCTTCTTTCTGCAGAAACCAGATGGAAGAAAACAGAAAAGTTCAGGGATCAATCTGGCTTCGGATCTGTCAGCTTCAGTCCCAGCTAGATCCAGGTGCTCAGTGAGGTCAGGACCCAATCTGGTCTGTCCATGTCTCAGCAACCCCCTCCTCATGTCAACTTCCGTTTTCAACAGGCTGTACCCAAGTTGTGGCAGAGGTGGCCTGGGCAGCTCAAGGGTTCCATCTTGCTTATCAGATTAAACTAGAGTCTCAGAATTAAGACTTATTAACTGGCCTGGGTCACATGTCCCTCCCTGAGCCAGTAAATGTAGATAAAGATAAAATGCTCTGCTTAGCCGGGTGAGAGTCATTCACCCACCTCCTGGAGCTTCGTTAAGAGTTGGGCGCAGTGGGTGTCAACCCCCCTGAGCAGCCTGGACAGAAAGTGAGGGTGGGGGGTGTTGGTGACTCACAAGAGGAAAACAGACAGGGTGGGGAGGGATGGACGCAAGACCAGCAGAACTGCGGACAGTAGCTGTTGTCCTTCTCATCACGTCCACCCAGCCAGGCCAGGCCAGCCAGGCCAGCCAGCCAGGCCCAGCGGTTTGGCAGTTGCCATGCAGGGGTGTTTTCTTACAGGGCAGGGGAGGGGGAGGCTGATGTTCATAAGGGACAGGAAATGTGGGTGAACTGAGCTGTTTTCTCTGTGGGGGCAGAATGTGCAGAATGATACACCTGCAGAAGCTGCTGGGGCCTCCTGCGGGTGTTGTGGAGAATGAGGCCCCTGTCTGCCACCTGCCCACCTCCTGGGCCTTCCAGATATCTGTCTGTGCTGACGGCTTTGCTGACTAGGCCCTTGGGCAACCAGCCAGCCCCACCTGGGCCTGGGCAGCAGCGCAACGGGACTTCCCTGCTGCTCTAGAAGCATCCCTGCTCCCCCCACACCCAGCCCGTTACAGCCAGACTGAGGCAGGGGCTCCGGGGCCCGCAGTCAGTTGGACACTTGCATGAAGCCCAGGAAAACCTGCTTCCAGACTTTGGGGGAATCAGACAGTACTTGTGAAATGATAACACGAGGAAATGATTTAATTATCTTAGAGATGGAGAGCCAGCATCGTGTCTGGTTTTAATAAGCAGAAATAGACAGTTTAGAATGTTTTTCCAAACACTTGGAAATCTGTTCACAGAATCCAGTGCCCTGTGGCAGGGGTTCAAAACACACAGGGATCACCCATCCCTGATATCCACAACCCGCCTGCAGCGAGGTCTCAGCCCTGGCTTGCACACCGCCAGTAGAAAAGAACTCACTACCCTATTTCAGCAATTCTAACTGCTAGAAAGTCCTCCATGGAGAACTGAATTCTGCCTTCTGCGAATGCCCACCCCCACCATCGAAGCCCACCCAGAACAGGTCTCCGCCCTTGAGAGTCAAGGTCAGCATCCCACCTTGAGTCTCTCCAGCTGGGCTTCTTAACACAGGCAGTCAGACCCCCAACTCCCAGTAGCTCCTCTGTGGTCCCCTACCAGGAAGCACCTGGAAGTCTCTGCTACAGCAACCAAGCAAAAGAGGGGGCCCCTTCCCACCCCCCGGTGTTGCCCAAGAAGGCCTTGACCCTGACTGCTGTGCTCCAGAGCCTGCGTGTGTGTGTGTGTGTGTGTGTGTGTGTGTGTGTACACACACAGGTGAACATGTGGGGTGTGTATAGGTCCCCGCTGAGCATCTTTGTCTCCAACCCTCAGACACGGGGGTCACAGTCTCTGACTCACTCATCTGACCTGTTAAGAGCAGCGCTGGGTGGTTGGGTCTTGAAGGCCTGGACTGTATTTCTCCCTCCTTTACATCCTCCCCTGGACTTGGGGGAGGGGCTCTGACCCCTGTAGAGTCCATTTCCTTCCCACAGAATGCATTGTTCTCTCCATATTTCAGATGAGGACATGGCAGCTCAGAGAGGTTGAGCGACGTGCCTAGGGTCACACAGCCATGGAATGACTGAGCTGGGATTTTTACCCAGTCAGCCTGACCACAAAGCCAAAACTCTTGCTTTGTGCCCCTGGCTAGAGTTCCAGGGAGGGGTAGGGAGTTGTGGACCATCATCCAGTGCATAAGCAAAGAGTTGCCAACCTGCTTAGGGCCGGGCGCTGAGGGAGGCCCCAGGGTGTGACCGCCAGGCCCTCCCTGGAGGAGCTCCTGGCCTAGAGGGGGAGATCAACCCCAGCAAGCAAACTAATATGGAAATACTGACGGTGTGGGGGCGGTGGGTGAGGCAGGAGGCACAGCCCCTCTGAAGCACTCACCCCAACTTGCTCCTCCAGCAGAGGGGAGGCACAACACGCAGGGGGGCCAGCAGGGGCCCAGGCCCTGGGCTGGGATGCACTGCACAGCCCAGCCTTTCTCTGCTTCTCCCCCTTAGAACCTCTTCGACAGCATCAAGAGTGAGCCCTTCTCCATCCCTGAGGACGACGGCAATGACCTCACTCACACCTTCTTCAACCCCGACCTCGAGGGCTGGCTGCTCAAGCTGGGTGAGACGCACACCCATGCACATGGCTGACACACGCACACGCATTCACAGGCAGCTCAGGAGTGGGATCAGGAAGGATTCCCAGATCTCCTGACCCCCGGTGCCACCCGCTGCCTGCCCCACCCCTCCATCTGTCTGTCCTGGAAAGAAGGGGAGAGTGGGGGTGGGAATGGATCAGCAGGAAGCGGGGATGAGGGGCTGAGAGATCTATAGACACACCCTTCAACTGCAGGTCTGTGCCCCTTCTCAGAGAGCTTCCCATGCCCCGTGAGGCTAGGGCACCTGCCTGAGGCCACACCGCCAACTGAGCAGTAGATTTTGGTGGGCAGAGGGTTGGGTGATGGGGGAGGGAGCGGGACAGGATGCGGCTCTGGGGAGCCTCCTCTCAATGTGACCAGGGGCAGGGCCTTGGGCCTGCAGAGGGGAGCTGGGTGTGAACTGCAGCTGCTGGATCTGAGGGGGAACCACAGGCCCAGTCCTCCGCCCCTGCCCCCACACATATTCCTGGATGCCTCCCCAGCAGGGGCAGCACAGCCAGGGACAGTGGCCTTCCAAAGCAGGTGAGGACAGACACCTTGTGCTGGGGCAGGGGACTTGGCCTGGTGCCCACCCAAGCACTCCCTCTCTCCACACCCACAGTCCAGTCAAGCCTTCTGCTCTAGCCCACCTGACTATTCTGAGCCCCAGGGAGGCCCTAAGTCACAGATCCCAGTTCCTCTACTTATGTGCTGGTAGTTAGGTTCTTTAGCCTCAATTCCCACAGCTGTGAAATGGGGCTAGTAATCTCTGGTAGGGCTAAATGTGTAGCAAAATGGCCAAGCACTTGGGCTCTGGAGCTAGGACACCAGGTGGAATCTCAACTCTGCCACAGGACCTTGAGCTGATAACTTAGCCTCTCTGTGCCTCAGTCTCCTCATCTATAAAATGGGTTAATGATGCTCCCCTCCTCATAGATTGTTACAAGAATTGATCAGAGAATACTTTCCATAAACCTCTAGAATGTTGCCTGGTAAATGACAGATGAAGAACCTAGCACAGTGCAGGAAGGCAGCAGGCCAAGAATGAAAGGAGGGGAGAGGGCAGCAGGAAAGTGCAAGGAATGGCCAGCCGCTATTCCTGGGGCCTGATAGTGGTGTAGCCTAGAATGGGCAGCAAACAGCTCAGGGGAAGCCTGGGGGTGGTGGGAGCTGCTAAGGTATTTGAGTGAGGAAGGGATAGAGCTAAGAGAAATGTGGCAGGATATGCGGTAGGGGGCTCAGGTGGGGCCAGAGGAAAGCATCGGAGGCCCTGCCCTTCAGTGGCCCAGGGAGGAGAAGCATGGGTTGATGCGCTACTGACCTCTTGCAGGGGGTCGCGTGAAGACATGGAAGCGGCGCTGGTTCATCCTGACTGACAGCTGCCTCTACTACTTCGAGTTCACCACGGTGAGCAGGGGCCTCCTGAGCCTTACCCTGCCCCACCCCGAGCCCCCTTCCAGACTCCCAGTAAGCACTGGACTGAGAGAACTTGGGGCCTCTTTGAGATCATTGAGTCCACCTGCACACCCATTTCACAGATGGGAAAACAGCTGCAAAGAGGAGGAGGGGCTGGGCCAAGGTCCAAGGCAGAGCTGGACCTTAAAGTGGAGTCTTCTCTCAGCCAGGGCTCTCCTCATGCTGCCCCCCTGCCCCATCCAGGGCTGGGCTGTCTGGGAAGATGGGTGCACCCCTCTTCGGGTATGGGGAGCCCCGCGAGTTCACTCCCTGCCTTCAACCTCAAGGCTCCTCCTGCTGATTGTGACCTCCCCCTCCTGCTCCCCTGTAGGACAAGGAGCCACGGGGAATCATACCCCTGGAGAACCTCTCAGTGCAGAAGGTGGATGACCCCAAGAAGCCAGTAGGTGTCAGGGTGGCGGCCTGAGGCCTGAGAAGCTGCTGCTGGGCAGGGGTGGGGTGGGGGAAAGGGGGTGGGGATGTTTCCAAACAGGGTGGGAGGAGAAGGTGGCTGGGCTGGACCCTGCTGTGCTGTGGCCCCTTCCGTGCCACTCAGCACTGCCTGGCCCTACTCCTGGGCATCAAAAGGGCCTGGTCTCATTGTCTCTCAGAGCCTGCCTCTGACCTGGCTGACCTTGCTCCTTTCTGAGCCTCAGTTTCTGTCAACTGGGGATTTTAGGGAATACGGTAGGTTCAGTGGGTTTAGGTGGAGGCTGGCACCTGGTAAGTTGTCCATGTGGGGAGTCGCAGCTCCTGCCCATGTGCCTCTCACAGGAAGTAGGCTGAGGGCCGTGTGGGTCCTGCTGCTGGTCCCAGCGCTGGTCCCGCCCACGGGTCCAGGCCTCTCTGAGCCTCCCAGTGCAGCCGCCCTCTCCTCTGTCTCCTGCCCTGCCCTCATGGGGCTCCCTCCCCAGTTTTGCCTGGAGCTCTACAACCCCAGCTGCAGGGGCCAGAAGATAAAGGCCTGCAAGACAGACGGCGATGGCAAGGTGGTGGAGGGCAAGCATGAGTCTTACCGGATCTCAGCCCCCAGTGCTGAGGAGCGGGACCAGTGGATTGAGGCCATACGGTAAGAGGTGGCTGGGCCAGCGGAGTGAACCTCCTGTCACCTTCCAGAAGTCTCTGCTCCTCTCTGGGCCTTGTTTCCTTGTCTGTAAAGGGGGCTAACTCCAGAATCTCCCTCCTGTTTCCTTCATGTGAGTCCCTTCCACCCATATTCTATAAGCACTGCCTCCAAGCCAGCACAGGGGCAGCCCCGGGGACACAGGGAAGGGAGACCAACGTCCTGGGGCTGAGGGAGGATCACTTGAGATGTGGCGTGTAAAGCTAAGGGCCCAGCACCGGGCACTTACTTGGTAAATGCCCGTGAATGGTGCTCTGTTAGCATCAAGATCTGAAGCGGCCCTGGAAAGACGTGGTGGAGGGAAGGGCTTTCCAGAGGGGAGGACCAGGGAATACAAAGACGAGAAGCCACTGCACGTCCCGCCTGAACGGCACCCCGGAGTCCCGGGTGGCTGGTGCTGGGCAGCCGGGGGCCTGGCTATGCAGGGATGAGGTAGTAGGAGATGAGGCTGCTGAGAACGGCAAGGCCTTGGTCACCATGGCAACAAGCCTGGGGTCCTCCTGGGGGCACTGGGGAGCCACAGACTGGTAAACAGAGAAGGCGTGTGGCCAGGTGAGAAAGGCTGGAGTGGAGAGGCTGGTTTTAAGATGTCACAATGGGCAGTGGAGGGAGAAGTCCAGAGACATTTGGGGACAGAATTCCCAAGACCCTCAGCTCTCCGGCCCTGCCCACAGGACTCTGGGATAGGCCAGCCAGGCCTGGCTGAGTCCCTGTCGGACTCTTCCGCCTTCCCCTGCAGCAGGGCAGGCCGACCCCTCCACAGGAGAGCTACATCCCTACCACGAGCCCTGGGAGAAGAGAGCCCCTGTGAGCCAGCCCAGCCCTGAAATCCTCACCTCCTCTCACTCTAGAGCCAGCATCACCCGAGTCCCCTTCTATGACCTGGTCTCTGCTCGGAAGAAGAAGATTGCCAGCAAGCAGTGAGCTTCCTGGGAGGTGGTGCTAGGCAACAGGCGTCCCAGGAACCCCATGACCGGTGGTCCCAGGAGACCCACTTCCCACCCAGGGCCCCCTCTCCAGGCCCACAGACATCCTCCCCCTCCCCCATTTACTTCGAGTGGACAGGGGCAGGAAGGCAGGGTTCAGGAGGGTGGGTGGGCTCAGAGCCCTGAGGACCCTAGTGCTCAGCACCCAGCCACTGCCAGGAAAGACCTCTGGCGCCCCACCCAAGTCCACTGCCATAACAGCTGAGGAAAGCAGCTGAAGGGAAACCATCCCAGACCCAGCACCCTGTCCTTCCTCTGGGCCTGCTAAGTGTCTGTTTCCACTCTGAAATGCATCAGCCCTCACCGCAGGAGGGGCCCTAGAGGGCCTGAGTGCCTCCTGCCCTCGGCCAGGGCAACACCTCCTCCCACTCAGGGGATTTCTCGGCAGCCCCTTGCCTGTCCTCAGCCTGGTCTTGGCTCTCCCTGCCTGAGGGACACACAGACACAGCTCAGACTCATGGACGGGACCACCAGGGGATGCCAGGAGCCCCAGAGAGGAGCCCAGACCCACCGGCTCAGCCTCAGCTTCTGCCAAGTCACACTCCTCTGGTTCGTGGAAAACTGCGGTGTTTGGATAGAAACAGCCTGGCCCCCCTCTCTGCCCCACCCCACCAAGGCGACAGCTGGCACAGCCGCAGTGCAGGCCCCAGCGGTGCAGGAGCTGGCCCCTGCCTCCTCTGGGACTGCTTCCTCTCGGAGAAAGGACAGAAGTGTACGGGTCTCCCTAGGGAGCGTCTGGCTGGAGATGTCGGCCCTTGTTTACTGAGCTGGAGGGGGCTCTGGCCTGGGAAGCTGAGAGCAGAGTGGCCCTTTGGGAAGAGGGGCAGGTAGACTCAGTGACAGAAAACATCCCAGACAGATGTACTCAAGCGGGACCGGCGGTACAGCCAAGAAGCCAAGAAGAGAGAGTTTTGTAAACTGTGGGTACCAGGAGGGCTGCCTAGAGGCAGCAGCCATGCCAACGAGTGACACAGAAGCTAGTGGCGTAGTCTCAGCCACAGCTTCCCTGCTAGACAACTGACCCGGGGTGGCATGGTGGTAAGGGGCTGCCCCAGCTGGGCCCCCGCACCCCAACACCCTCTGCACCAGTGCCATCAAGAGTTGAACTGACTTCCCAGTGCACAGGCAGGAGGCCCTGCCTCCGGGGAGGCCCCAACCCAGAGGAGATTTCCACAAACAGACTTCTTCTCAGAAGCCCTTCTCACCGGCTCACAGGCCCTGGGAGGCTCCTGGGGGAAAACTCCCTGGCAGGAAAGCAGGATCTGGGGTCGCCTCCACCCCCTGCCAGTCTGAGTGGGAAAGCCAGAGCAAGGTGGCTCCCAGAGGAGGGGGGAAGCTCAGGCTCTCTTCAGTGCAGCGTCGTTATTGGCACTCGCACACCCTGGGAGACAGGGATCTCAGCACCACAAAGCTGCTGCTCGGTCCTGACTCCGAGGAAGTGTGCATGGGCACAGGGGGCGGAGGGGCAATCCAGAGGCTTCTCAGAGGAGCTGTGCTTGAGTGCCAACCCCCAGGTTGGGTAAAGGACACACACCTGACATTGCAATGAGCTCACCTCATGTCTGCCCCCTGCCCCCACCCCCTCCACACACACACACACTGACGGAACTCCTCACAGGCAGACCCATCACTGCTCAGTGCCTGGCACGCAGTAGGTGCACAATAATTCTTCGTTAGGCTGAAGTCAACTGAGAAGGCTCTGGGCCTCCACATCAGCAGGTGCAAATGTCTGAAGGCAGAGAGAACTGTGAGGACAAGGTGCTGCTAGGGGGCGCGGGGGGCGTGGCCAAAGAGGTGGGAGGGCCACATCGCAATCCAGGTCAGGCAGGTGGCTCTGACCCCCTGGCCCAGTCCCCCTTGCTCTCCCCAGGGTGGCCTCTGCCCAGCTTCCCACCATCCCGCCACTCCTCGCTCTGGGCAGCAGGGGGCTCCCACCACACGCGCATGAGAGGTTCCAAGATGAGCTGGCTGGAGACCCTGCAGGCTGGAGACCCTTGCAGCAGGAGGCCCTTGCAGGGAAGAGCCTTGGCCTGGGTATCCTGGAGGAGGAAGCACCCGTGGGCTTTAAACAGATGGGCGCAGGCTCAAGCAGCCCAACAGACACCCATGGGACAGACGAGCACAGCCTCCCTTCCCACTCATGCTGGGCACTGGCCCCTGCTCAGCCTGGGAATCAGGAAACCCCAGCCCTCTCCTCACTTTCTGGCTGTGGGACCCTGAACTAGTGCCTCCCCCCCTCGATGCGACCTTCCTCCCTGAAGGGTTAGGCCACGTGAGTTAATGACATGAACCTTTAATGGGGACCCCCTGTGCAAGGGAGTCCCAGACATGGGACAGTGCAGTCCCTGCCCTGGGGTAAGCCAAGACCGGTGTGTGTGGCCGAGGTGGGTGGCAAATGAGAAGGTGCCACAAAAGCCACTTACTGTGAAGGGCCACAGAGGGCAGTAGTGCGAGGCACTCAGAGGGCCTGGGTTCAAGACCCAACTCTATCCTGTGTCTTAAGCAAGTTACCTAAACCCTCTGAGCCTCAGATTTCCCATCTACAAAATGGGAATAATTAAATATATGCAAAATTAGAACAGTGTTGGGTACCTACTCAGGGTTATGTCAACTACCCTTATATATATATTATTATTATTATAAGGCAAACTGTGTACATGCTTTCATGGAGATACAAAACAGGATGGGGCCATTGGAGGAGGAAAGATTCAAGGTGATGGGGTGAAGATCGGGGAAGATTTCTCGGAGGAGGTGTCCATGAAAAACAAGCTGAGTGGGAACATGGCTCTTCCAGCCGGTGGGGCCGGGATGAGCCAAGACAAGGATGCACGACACGGCCTGGTAGTTCTGGGACTCCCTTGAGTCCTGAACACAAACCCCAATGGGCCAAGAGGATGCAAGACTGAGGGTGCCTAGGCCCTGGCTTAGCTGTATACATGATGCCATAATCCCCTGTGTATCTGCAGCCTCAGTGCCCCGGGTCGTGAAGCTCTGACTGGGGTCCGATAACACGACTACTAAACGGAGTCCATTGCAGAATAAGGGAGGATAAGCTTGGCACAGTTCACCCTGGGAGAGAGTAGGAGAAGGCAAGGAGTCCCCTGCCCCATGCCTGGGCAGCAGAAGCACTTCTGGCCTGGTAACCCAGAGCTGGCACCTGGATGCCAAAGGGCAGGACATGGGGGCTCAGCAGCCAGGAGTCCAGCGGCAGGTGTGAGAGACCTGCAGAAATTGATCTATTAAGGACAACGAAAGGAGCTAAATATGTTTGCAGGCTCAGGCATTCCCCAGGGGTCCACAAAGTGTGAGCATCAAAGAATCAAAGACAGGCCTCCTCCCACCTGGGCTGCCAACCTCCAGCCTGTCCTTCCTTGCGATGGAGAAACCACCCCTGAGTGTCCTGAGGACACTGCATACCCCAAACCCTGCCAGACCTCCCAGAATGGCTGAAGAAGTGAGACATCTGGGTTGAAGCCCTGGCCTTGCTCCAAATTGCTGCATGACCTTGGACAAGTGTCTGATGCCCTCTGGACCCACATTCCCCAGAAAGGAAGGACCCCACCTGGTGCCCTTCCTCCCCATCCCTGTCTGGCAGTGTCATTCCCACCTTATTTGGCTTCTTCCAGACAGCTGAGGGCACAGCCTCCTCTCTGAAATCCAACTTTCCTCTAGGAGAAAAGCCAGATTCCACAGGGCCTCGTTGGGGGAGAGGATGCTCTTCCGGTACCAGGTTCCAGGCTGGCACTAGGCTCCAGAAAAAACATGGATGAATCAGTCCAAGGCCAGAGGCAGAGCAGACAGAAGAGGGAGCACTGACCTCCCGGTGATGCAAAGCGCTGGGGGCCGCAGGAGGAGGTTTGGGAAGGCAGCCTGCGGTGGTGCAGGGAGGGAGGAGCAGGGGAGGGGGGACTTTGGGGTACTTAGAACATCTGCCAGGCAGTGGGGGGAGGAACTACACAGGGAAATGCACAGAGCCCCCCCACAGCAGTGTGGCACATGTAGGGGGCAGTGAGCTATTCAGTGGGCATAGAAGGGGGCCTGTGCCTGAACAGGGGGACTTGGAGTTGAGCAGAAACTGGGACCAGACTGGCCAGCCTGACAGTTAGACTGTCTGGAAGGCACCGGAAGCTGGGGAGAGAGACACAGCAGGAGAGAGATGTGGCTGGAGGCTGTCTGTGGGTAGTCCCTCTGGCTGCTTGTGGGATGGATTAAGGAGGCACATGGTGGCTGAAGGAAGTGGAAAAGGCTTGAAGGGCTTCTCCTGGATCCACAGTACAAGCAGGGGCTGAGGCCTCTGTGGCCTTTGCCCCCAAGGGCAGCATTACGGAGGTCTCCTTTACGTTCTCCTGTGAGTTCTTAGCAGCAAGTGAGCCTCTAAACCAGCCCACAAAGACCCAGTGCTCCAGACTTGATCCAGACACCCTGCCCCAACCCCACCCCAACTATGCCAGCATCAACATGTCATGGCCAAGGCCGCCAATTGTGGAGCACAACTAGCACCAGGGCCTCTGCCAACATGCTTTGCAACCTCCCAACACTCTCCAAGGTGGACATTATTAACCCCACTTCACAGATAGGGGCTCTGAAGTTCATGGGGGCCCAGGGCCCAGAGAGAAGAGCCTGAGTCAGCATGGAACCATGGCCACCTGACTTAAGGCTTATATAGATTTAGAGTGGCTACCAAATCATCCAAAATGGGACCCTTCTGAGAGTACTAGAAGGCTGGATTAGGGGATGCCAGGAAAACAGGATGCTAGGCCTGCTCAGGTACCCCAAGACATATGCTAACCCTAGAGATTGGACATATTCACAAGAGTCCAGCAAGGAAGAGGGGACATCCAGATGGCCCTGTCAGCTGGAAGGGATGTGATCCATGTCTTCTTAATCCTGGAGAAGCAAAGGGCAGCTGTTTTATCCAGAGCAGATTGAGCTCCAGGGCCCACTACCACCGAATTCCAGTGAACTCTTCCCCTGCATGAGCCTCCCCAGGTCCCACTCCAGACTGATGGTATATGGGATAATCATGAATGCAGTGGGGCCTGGTCCACCAGGTGTGCTCCACAGATATTAGCTGCCATTATTATATGCTTGATACGGTCTCGATGAGAGCAAGGGCTCTGAGCAGAACCACTACAGGTACCAGGGACTGCCCATCCCATCCTTCCAGGACCAGCAGAAGCCCTCCTACAGGAAGTCCTCCCTGACCATCCTAGCCCCCAGGGCTCCTTCAGGACTCCATGCAAAGTTCCAGAAAATAGGTGTGCTAGCCCCAGAACCTACGAAGGAGACCCAGCAGCTGCTTTTGTCTTGATCTTAAGTATTCAGTTTTGGCTTTTGAAGAGCTGGCTTCAATAGTCTGGGCCTGCCCAGCTCAAGTGAGAACATAAACTTTGGTGCCACTGCCAGACCCCAAGAGGCTCACAAGCCCCTTTCTTTTCCCCACCTCCACTTCTGCACAGGAACTTCCAGCCCCACCTTGGAGTGCCTTGGCTTGTAAAAGTCACCCTTCTTCATGAGGGAAGAGACTCACAGAGGTTAAGGGGCATGTCGTACGGGGTCACCCATCACGGAGACTCCAAGGGGAAGACAGAGGCAAAAGGCACCAACATTCATGTAGCCCACCTGATCTCATCTGATCCTCCCAGTAGCACATGAGGTGGACAGGATTATTCCCATTTAACAGATGAGGCTCAGCAGGTTGTGACTTGCCAAAAGTCACACAGCCAGGAAGTGGCATCTGATCAACTTGTTTCCATTGAATTGTTCAGGCGGAAGACCCTGGAACCAGCAGGGAGTCTGCAGCAGAAGGGAGGATTAACTCCATGACCTTTACAGTCCCTTTGATCCTTTGAAGCTAAAGCTTAACTCTCTTCTCTTCCTGCCTCCTCCAAGGGATTTTCACTTAATGACTGAGAGCCCAGAGAGGACCTGCTTTGACCCAAAGAAATTATTTTTTGAATAAAAAGTCCCCTATTAAAAAATAATAAAACATGCTCATTATAGAACACAGGAAGATGCAATGATCAAGAAGAGAAAAACTCAGATCAAGAATTCCTCCACCGACATTCTAAAATTTTGGATTTCCAGCACACCTGTATGCTGTATGTGTAACACCTCTGCCATGCTGCTGCATATACAAGTTGGGAACATATATCTTCCTTAACAATAGGAATTGATATTTCCCCATGTGCACCAGTCAGGACAAACTAGGTTATGCTGTGGTAACAAATAACCCCAAAATCTCAGTGACTTCACACCAAGAGTTTATGCCTTGCTCACACCTGTGTGCTCAGTGGAAGGCTGGACAGAGTTCTCTGCTTATCAGTCAGTCACTCAGGGACCCAGGCTGAGCAGGCGCCATCCTGACACAGGCCACCAGGAGTGTTGTCTGGATGGGACACATCACTCCTACTCACATTTCATTGACCAGAGCAAGTCACATGGCCCTAACTTCTAGGGGCAGGAAAGTACCATCCTGTCACCTGCCCATCAGAACGGAGAACAGAAATACTTGGACTGCAGCATTTATGCCAGTTACATCTAGGTTGACCAATCATCCTCATTTGTTAGGACCAAGGGGCTTCCTGGATTGCAGGACTGTCACACGCAAACCTGAGAATATCCTGGGCAAACAGAACAAGCTGTTTCCCAGTTACATATTCTTCACAAACACACTCCTCTATGACTGTACAACAGACTATCTAGTTGCCAAGTCATGGTTTTTCTCTTTAATCCCTTGTTCTTAGAAACTTAGATTGTTCCCAGTTTTATGTGTTTATAAATGCATAGTCTAAAACATCCTCGTGAATAAAACCTTGTCCATATGGCTCGTCAGAAGTGCAATTACTGGGCATTTTTCCAGTGCAGAATACCTGCTACCTGTTCATATTTCAAAAGCCTGGACCAACATGACTCGCCTTCTAGGGCATGAGCAAACGCCCACTTCTGAGCACTCACCTAGAGCCTAGAGCAGTAGCTCTCAAATCCTAGATCCGAATCACCCAGAGAGCTTGTTAAAATACAGATTGCTGGGCCCCACCTGCAGAATTTCTGATTCAGTAGGTCTGAGGTGAAGCCTAATCATTTGCATTTCTAACAAGTTTCCAGGCAATGCAGATACTCCTGGTCTGGGATCACATTTTGTGAACCACTGGCCTAGTGGTTAAACGGCCCCTGCTTTGTAACCTGACAGGTGATTCTGCTCAGCTGCTCAACACTGTGTAACCCTGGCCAGATTACATAATTAACCCCTGTAGCCTCAGTTTCCTCATCTGTGAATTGGAGCCATTGTGAAGATTAATGCAGCAAACATTTCTAGAGCTCTGAAAAGCATGTCACAAGTGTTTAGTTAAAGATAGCTTTAGTTACTCAGCAGTAGATTAAATAACTTTGTGTTTTAAAATATTTGTTAATTTGAATGGAAATGCATTTATTTAAGTTTTCATGCCTTTCATGCCTCTGAGTGGGAATTAAATTTTCCCCTATGGTGGTTAAGCATCTGTGTTTCCTTTTCAGTGTAAATTGTCTGCTCCTGCCCTTTGCCCAGTTACCTGCCAGTTTCTCTGGCTCCTTATGTAGCAAAGATAACAGACCCCAAGGCCAGCCTTGTTTGCTACAAAAAATTTTCCAAGGCTGCTGCTTGCCTTTCTTACTGGGGTCATTTTTCTGGCTTACGGAGTGGCCAAGTCCATCTGATATCTCATTTTTATTTCCTCTATCACTTTTAAGCTAAGATAGTCTCCTTTCTCCAGAATGTAAAAAATATATAAAAGAATTGGATTTTGAATGATGGGATTTGGTGCACCCTGGCAGCGGCGGGGCGGAGGCTGGGGGAGCTGCTGGCTCCCTCACACCCTCCCTAAGGGCACCAGGCAGTCGGAAACCAGAGGCCTCTCAGCACCACCCCCCCCCCCTAACCCGCAGCGGGGCCCCAGATACAGCCATGCTATTTCCGCATCAGCAGAGGCCTCCTCCAGGGAGGCATGGGACAGTTCAGGGTTGGATGGGGCCCCTGGAAGTTCAAGTGGCCCGGCCTCCAGCTGGAGACAGAATGGCCGAGGGAGTAAGAACTGGCCACAGGTGTTAGCCTCCGGTTCTGATCTCTCAGGTGTTTGCCGTGCGATCTTTGCCTCTCTGAGTCTATTTTCTCATCTATAAAATGGGAGTGATGATGCCCACATCAACAGAAAATTCTAAATGGATCAACAGCTACAGCGGGCTTCTGCTGGGTGCAAAGTGCACCCAATATAAGGGCTTGTCCCAATTCTGTTCCCAGGGCAGGAGCGTGAGCTCTACAGACTCTACAGACCCTTCCTCTGTTCGGACTGAAAATATCCTCCACCGCGGGGCCCAAGTCCCCGGGTCTCAGAGAAAATGACATTCGGCGCCTCAAAGCTCTCCTGCGTCCAAGGTTCTTCTGAACGTCCCCGGACCCTCCAGCTGCAGCTCAGTGCCGGGACCCTAACGCGGGTAAAGCGCCTCCAGGGCTCGCGGGCTGGGATAGGCCCCGCCTGTGCCAGGGGGACGAGGGGGCAGCGACACCCCACCCCTACCTGCCCCCAGGCTGCCCGACCGCGCTCCCGCTCCGCTGGGCGTGCGGCTGCGGCCTGATTTCCATGATCATCAGCCACCGGGCTTCCGAAAGGGCGGGGAGCGCCGCCGCCCACTGGGGAAGCTCCCGGGGACTAGCGCCCCCTCCCGACCACCTCCGCGTTCCCGGAGGGAGCTTCATTCTTAAAAGCTTTCGAGAAACCTTTGGCGCCAGAGGTAACTTGGAGACACCCGGTCGGCGTTCCAGCGTTAAGAAGGGGGGGCGGCGGGAAGGGGAGGCGGGGAGACGCCGCACCCAAGTGCAGAAGAAGCTCAGAAAGGAGTGGAAGAAACTGAGGCAGCGGGCGCGGGTGGGGGGTAGGGGGGACCACGTTTTCCCTGCAGCCTGCAGCGACCCTGACAGTAAGTTCTCTGCTCAGCCCCACTTAACAGATGGGGACACTGAGGCCTGGAGAGGTTTCCGGTCTCCCAGCTCGTTGAGTGGCTGGTTAGGGGATCCAGAGCTCATGGCCCACCTCGCTCACTGCCTCCTTCCCAGGACAGGCGGCTTGGGAGCCGCTGCTCCCAGCAAGGTGAGACCTGGGGGGACAGACTGACCAGAGCCTGCAGGAGGGAGGCCGAGGCTGTGCACAGCACGCGGAGCTAATCTGGTCTGGAAGTCCACCCACTTGCTGAACTGGGTTCAAACCCCAGCTCTACCACTTTCCCATTCGGGGTTGTGCAAATTTCAACCCACCAGCCAAATCCTGTCCACTTTTACCAACTGTTTTTGGTACAAGCCAGAGCTCAGCAAGGGTTTTAATTTTTTGAATATTAAAAAAGAAATTAAAAGAATAATATTTCCTGACACATGAAAATTATATGAAATTCAAATCTAAATGTTCATACATGTAGTTTTATTAGAACACAGACATATCCATTAGTTTTTGGTACTGAATTCAGTTGCTTTTCCACTACAATGGTGGAATTGAATAGTTTTGACAGAGAGGTGTAGCCCTGACAGCCAAAAATATTTTCTACCTTTCTAGAAAAATTTGTTCACCCCTGCAGTAATGGGACAAGTGACAGTCTCTGAGCCTCAGTTATCCACATGGACAAATGGGAATAATATTAAATGAGGAATAAATGAAAAGACCAGCAAAGCACCCCAAAATTAGCTCCTTTGTACTCCTCATTGGAAATGCTCTTCATTGTCTCTTAGCCTCTGCCCCTTGCTGCTTCCCTCATTCTGAATCACAACACGTGGACGGATACACCTTGAACTCAAAAGTGTCCATCATCCACTCCCTAATCCTGCTTGTCTTCACACCAGGTTCACCCAACTGAACCCCAGGCCCCTACACAGTCAGTGACCAGGCCTGGCTGGTTCCACCTCTAGTGCCCGGCATAGTCCCTGGCACACAATAGGTGATCAGCAAACATTGTCTAGATGGATGCCTGAATGGATACCTCAGTCTTTCCCCTTTTCTCCATTCCCTCTGCTCTGACCTTCATCATCTCCTGCCAGGTCACCCTGTTGCCCTCAAACTCTCTCCATTGCATCCTCCACCCTGCAGACAGGGTGGCAAGCCTATGTCACATTTTCCCCCAGCTCCCCATACCCCTCTCCATTCAAGCCATGCTCCCCAGGGCAGCATACCAGGTACTGAGCCAACACCGTTCTTTAATCTTCTCAAATACCCACTGCTTCCCTAAACTCGAGGCTAGTGCAAGCTTCCAGGTGGTGGCTGGTCCATTCCCTCTTCCCTGGAATCTTCTTCCTTATCTCCAGTCCTTCAGGCCTGGTATCCTCTACTCTACCCCCAAGACTCAGTTCAGGCCCCCACTGTATGGATCCTTTCTAGATCTCTCACCCACTTCCACTGCCTCCAGTATACAAGGCTATCCTGGTATCAGTGGGACTTCAGAGCTATTATGAATCTGCATGAATATGAATGTATGAATATGCATGCTCTTGGGGGGCCTGTGAGCCTCTTGAGGGCCAAGAGTGTGATGGTATTTCTGTATCACCAGTCCCAGCAAAGCTATGGCCCACAGAAGGCACTTAGGAAGTTTTTTAAAAAATGAATCAATGAAGAAAGGAAGAAAGGAAGGAATTAAAACTCAGATGAGATCTTGTCTTGCTCAACAACTTTCAAGGGCTCCCCAGTTCTCATCTATAATGGCCAGCTACACAGCCTGGTCTTCGAGTTTTCAAGCCCTATATGAAGACGCTCTGATCCACCTCCAGGCCTTGTCTCAAACTGCATCAGGGACCTGAGGGTACCTGAAGTAGGGGGCCAACGACTGTCACATTCTCCAAATCCCACAGCAAAAGACAGAGAGCAGGGGCTCTGAGCAGGAGGACCTGGTCCAGGGTGAATCCTGCCAGTGTTTACTTTGGGGACATCATTTCACCTCTTAAGAGTAAAATGCAAAATAGCACCTGCCATGTAAGAGCTACTTGGAGTTTAGAGATGCTGCTGTCTTAAGTTTCTGGCACACAGTAGGTGTTCAATAAAGAGCTATTTCCAGCCCTGGCTGGGGCCCTCCTGCCCAGAGAGAAGGTTCAGGGAGCAGACCTAGAGCTCCCCCAACACACAGCCTGACTTCTCTCTTCCGTGCTCTTTCCCTTACCCGCGACAGTGCCTGCAGCCAGCGACTAATGCTGCTGTGGACAGAATGACAATGAGGCCAGCACCCAAGCAAGCCATCTGAGAGTCTGAGGCTAGGACAGGGCTCAGAATGAAGACTAGGCTGGACAAGGGACAGGGGGCAGGCAGAGCTGAAGCAGAGTGGGAGAGGGACAGAGGCTGGAGTTCTGCATGAAGCTGGGGCAGGGGCTAGATAGCAGAGGGCAGAGCAGGTAGGGGCCTGCACGAGCGTGGAGTGGAAGTCCAGATGGGGTCGGGCTGGGGCTAAAGCTGCCACTGGGGAGAAGCAGGGCTGGAGCAGGAAACGTGAGGTTGGAGCAGGCACTGGCTTTAGGATGGAGATAAGGCTGGGGCAGGGATCAGGACAAAATCACCCCTGGCACCAGAAAAAGACTGCCAGAGAGTTAGGGGTCGCCCCAGGCCAGGGGAGAGGAGAAAGCAGTCTGAGAAGAGTTGGAGAGAAAGAAGGAATCCCAGAGGGGAGTGTGAGCAGGGAGAGGGGAGGTGGGAGCCACTGACCCCTGGGTCCCAGGGGCAGCCTCGCCTGTGCCAACCTCCTCTTTTGGCAGGTGGGACCTGCATGGCTAGAGAGAGCCGAAGATCTACCCAGGCCCCAGCCAAGGGGAGGCAGGGTTAAGACCAACCTATCTCCAGACCCAGAGAGGAGGCAGGAAAGAGGGGAGTGGAAAGGCGATAAGATAGGGACAGGGTGCAGCCAGCACAAACTTCTGGGGCTAACGAACCAGACCACTGCCACTCCTCCCAGCTTACTCAAGCCCACGTCACAGGCGGAGGGTCTGACTCCTGCGTACACCCTGCGCATCTCACCTCCCAGGGTTTGTCTAAGCCATTGCTCCCACCAGGAATGCCTTTATTTGCTCACTCTAAACACTTCATACTCCCAGCCCTAATTCATCCCAGTCTATGTCCCCAGACTCTTCTGGCCCTCAGCACACCAGCCCCGACCTCCCTCAGCAATGACCATGTCTCCCTCACACTCAGGACTTAATGCTACTGGGGTTACATTCCGGTGGTCCAAGGGTGCATGATGGGCCCCCATAGATGTGCTTACTCTGCACAACCATCATACAAAGCTTCATAGCCTAGTGGTTAAGCTCAGCTTGGGATTCTGCAGGGCCAGGTTTGAGTCTGGGGAGCTTCATTTTCATGGAGTCAGTGCTTCATAAATGCTAGCCACCCCTCTCCTCCCATCCCATTGATCACTCAGGATGCACACTGGGAGCTCCCAGCGGCAGCTGGGCTGAGCTGAGGCATCCTCCTGCCTAGTGG